TTACACATTAATTAGCATTAACTGCAACAGTGCCAAAACAATGCATAGTTTATGTAATATGATAAATTGTCTGTAACGTTTTGCTTGATTGATTACAGGCACACAGCAAAACAATCGATAAGCTAATAACCTGTCTTACCTAATATAGTTTTTACTCTTTGGTGTGTTTAGCTTTTTATATATTTCATTTGTGGGGCTTTATTTTTAATAGTTTGATTTGATTAGCCTGCCTAGCTGTCATTGGAGACTAGTACAGTTTGTATACAAGCCTGAAAAAAAAACACTACAAATGTTTTTTTTTTGTTTTTTTTAAATAACCAGTTTTTAACAGCCTGCCTCAGCCCCACCAGTATCTTTTTTTAATTATTCTGAATATCAGGTAAAATTATAATTAAAGTCACACTAAATGCACATTTACTTCTGTCACATATTTTCTCCTATTACTATTATTATTATATTTTAAGTTTTTTTTAAAACATCAAAATCTTTCCACATAAGCCTGTTTGGGAATCACCAATCTCCAAGTACTAATATATTATAATATATTGAAGGTAGAAATCCACCCAAATATGACAATTCTGTCATCATTTACATTATTTGAAACCAGTATGAGCAAAAAAAACAACAAAAAAACTGACTTTTTTTTTTTTAAGTATCTTCTACAGGAGTCATCCAACATTGAAACAACATGAGAGTGAGTTAATTTTTATATTTAAATGAACTGTCTCTTTAAAATGGACTTACAAAGTATGTCATTTTAGCATAGCATATCACATTTTTCTTTATTGTATTTAGTTAACAGTCAAATACAGAGCTTAACAGTTTAGAGAATCTGAGAAAGAACTACTAATACTAAATATCATATATAAGCATACATTGTGTCTGTTCTTTGACCATATGTTGCACTGAAAAACGGTTAACAAATGACATGTTATCTTTTTAGTAAGTGTTTTATTTTTACTGTTTAAAATTATATTGTAGATCACACAAATATTAGTTAAATTTATTAAATGTTACTATGTCAAGTACAGAAGTAATTGCTTTATGACTATAACTCAAATTGAAAAGACAAGGAAAGTTGTGTGAAAGTATGCATGTGGAAAGAAGCAATGCAAAATTAAGTGAGTGTCTGAGATATTTATTGGCACTCGATGAGAACAGCCTCCATGTATGTCCAGTTCATACAATAATCAACTACTGTACCAGTGACTTCAGCTCTCTCATCCAATCTGAAACAGACAGTGACTTTACATGATGATCAATATATGTGGAAACATCACAAAAGCAAATCAAAGCCATATTATAACATTGGTGATGATGAGACATATGATTTCTTATCCAAATTTAAAAATAATATTCTTGGAGTAGCTGCTGACTTATGTCCAAGAGACAGCGCTAACAACAAACAAACAGTCTCCGAGAAACTAAAGGAAATGCAAAAATGTTGTAACCGTCCCCACTCTCCCCTACGCTTTTCTGCCAATGACAGATGAAACAAACATGACAAACAAAGATGCATAATGTTACCTCACAGTCTCACACTTACATACTTAAAAGATGTTGTTTATCTGAACAAGATGGAAGCAGGAGAGGGTTATATTTTGTTGCCCGGGTATTTTTCCTAATTTATAATGATATTGCAAGAAGGGAAAGGGATTAACTGCGGTGAAAACAGTAAACACAGTAAACCTTAATGCCTCCTGCAGTGAGTTTTGGAGAAGCTCTTTTATGCTGATCCGAGAGCTTGTGCTGTTTGTTAAATATGAGATTAAAGCTCAGAAAGCCTGTTTAAAAGAGCAACTTCAATAGCTTGAACATATTCCTCATTTGTCTGATTGCTGATGTTGTTATAGATATTAATACATACAGATAACTGTGAAGTTTTGAGGTTTACTATTCAAATGATGAGACATCCCTGTAGTTTAATCAGTTCAGCTGTCAAATGTATATATGTAAATGTAAAATAATGTTACAGCTGTAATTGATGCATAACGTGTCCGTGGTAAAATGTATGTGTAAGCAAAGTGTATGTTTTTGGTGATGTAACTTTTTTTTTTTTTTTCTTCTATCACATTTTTGCCTTCACCAGTTCATTGTTAATAGTTTTGAGAAGGATATGTTTAAGTATTTCATGTCAAGTAACCAGACACACAAAGAAATTCTTATCTTTATGTATGACATTTTTTCAGTCTGGATGTATTTGTAATTGTATAGCTAGATTTATATTTGGGTAAAGTAATTAGGTAAAGTATTTTGTCCCCTACTAATGGCAATGTTTGCAGACAGAACGGCTACAGTAAACACTTCTGACAGTGCACACACCTCCTGCAAGATATCACACCACCGTCTTATGACCAACTACTGTTAAACAAGTTCAGCCACACCCTAAATCAAAGTACACTTTTATACGGAAGTAGAAGTACAGAAAAATAACCTAGTGAATGCAAGGTAGGTTGATACAATATCATATTTTGCTTTATGTTTGAAATGTTTTCTGTGCTTGCATGTACAAAAAAGCTGTTGCATAAGTTTTTCAGCATAGGCTCACTCGGAGCTTAAACAACAACAACAACAACAACAATAAAAAGACTACTAAAAAGACTTCGAAACGTCTTTAAGTGGTTGTGTTCCTCTGATATCTTGAAACCAACTGTTGATATATTAAATGCTGTTATTTTTACATAATGATTTATTTCAGAATCAAGTAATACATTGGAAATGTAGACCATTGGTGAACATTGTAAATTTACATGTAATAACGGCAATGTATTTTGGGTGAACCCAGAAAAAAAACTAATTAGCTAAACTGTACTTTTGTTATTGTGTGACATTCACCTTCCCCACATGTTTCCATACCTCAAATGAACATGCATAAGTGCTACAAAATTAGTGTTATGTCTTCTGTGATCAGGATTGCTTAATGGTTTTAAAACAGCAGTATAAACTGGTTGTTAGTATTAAGTGAAACCTATAGCACAGCAGAACCAACTGTGTGTTTTCTTGTTATCAGTTTCCGTGAAGAGCATGCTGCACATACTGTGATCAAGGCTATTAAAGGCAGAGTAAGTGATTTTTCAAAAACACTTTAGAAAACTGATTCGGGCCGAATCGCAAAACAAACTTGTAGCCAATCAGCAATAAGGGGCGTGTCTACTCGTGATGTGGAGGAGAGCGCGTTCAGTGCATGGGACGGACATTAGCCGAGCCGAGCGATAGAAAGATAGAGATGGCGGATAAAAAACAAAAGAGGAAAACGTCTGCGGAACGATAAGGCAAGAAGTAGGACACGTGTAAATATCGGATCAGCTTTCCAGCGCTGGAGAGAACTCAAGGAGCGGAGGCCTGCGATCGGACGCCGAGGTTGCTTTGTTTCTTCTCAATAGGTGAGTAACACCGTGTCTACAACAACTAAAGTCTGCCTACACTGGACGCGATCAAACGACCATTGAAAACCATTTGAAATTTGTGTCAGCACGTCATAAATAGAACCCGGCAGCAGTTTTCTGTCGGGGATTTGTTGCACCGCGCCGCACCGCTCATGTCCGTAGACACGGTGTAACATTGGTTTTGCTTTGTTTCACAGAACTAATCGTTGCCTGGGTTGCGTACGTATATGTGGGGCGGAGCTATCAAAATAGGGGCAAGACCCTTTTGGGGTAGGGGCGTGTTTGTTTTGGTGATTTCAAATATCAACATTGGCTACCAGAAATCACTCACTCTGCCTTTAAATCTCCTCAGGGTGAGCCAATTTATCTGTGTGTGGTTTCCAACAATGGAATATTTTTGATTAAAGTAACAGAAAACAGGACAGAACACGTTAGGGCAGTACTGTATGCATGTACGTGTTTCTGTATACCTAAGTGAATTATAAGTAGATTGGTTTCTTTTTGAGCTGCCATGACATTTCAACAGGTGAGCCTGTACTTGATTTACCTGGATAAACACAAAACTGAAAGTATTTATGGAATAGTATATACGGAAGTGAAGAATAAAAAACAGCTAGCATTGCAAGGTTGGTTGATAGTTCATATAATTTTAAGCATTATTTTGATGTATTTTGATATATATGTATACATTTTGATAAGTACTTTTATATGTTCCTGTTAATGCTTTTACAAAAAGATAAAGCTTTTAAGTGTATCCTGCTGTTGCATAAGCTTTTGTTAATGGTAGGTTACACCTTAAGCCGGAGAATGCTGATGCAATATTTTAAAATTTTATCTTTGTCTATAAACTAAAAATTGAAAAAAACTGTTTCAAGATATTCTTGAAAAATATACATTTTCAAGAATATATCGGAAATATATTTCATGTGTGAGAGGGTTCAGATTAGTATCATAACAGTACAATGCTAAATGCTATGTTCAGTGCTAAAAATGTGTTTCACATACTGACAGTTATGCATTTAAGGTGAACACAGTGCTAAAAGTGTACCGTCACAATGCAATTTTAAATTAATTTGAACAATTTAATAATGTTCACATGCACAACACTTTGTCAAATCATTAAAAAAATAATAATGCCACATGCAACTGATCATTGATGTTTGTGATGTCTTTTGTGATTAGGCATTGTTCAGTGGCTTTAAAACAGTCATAGAAAATATTAAGAGAAAAAAACTGCCTGTTTTCTTAAGCAGAAGGACATGTTGTAAAATCATCTTCGAGCAGCCAAATATAATGTGATCATGGGTACAAAATTCTTAACGTCTCGTCAGGGTGAGTGAATTTTTCTCTCTATTTCTCCAGCAAAGAAATATTTTGATTGAAAGCATTATGGAATAATAATTAGATTTTCTTTTGATTTTAATTACATAGGTTCCTCTATGCAGTCCATGCTCAGAGTTGTGCTCTTCGGAAACACTGGTGCTGACAAGAATAAGGTAGCAAAATCACTGCTAACCTGCGAGAATCTGACAGGAGAGAAAAATGGTCTATGTACTTTATACAAGAGTGAACAAGCAGGGAGGAGGATCAGTGTTGTGGAAGCACCAGGATGGCATGAACACTCAATACAACAAACACCAGAGAACATAAAAGAAGAAATTATCAGAAGCGTGTTGCTTTGTCCTCCAGGACCTCACGCTCTGCTTCTGGTCATACCAGTGAAAACTCTCTCTGGAGAACCTCCTATAGGTGAAATTAATGCAGCAGAGATGCACATGGAGTTACTGTCAGAGCGCGTCTGGAAACACACCATCGTGCTGTTTGCTTGTGATGAAGGAGTGGAGGAACCAGCAATCAGAAAACACATTCACAGCGCAGAGAAAATCCTGGACAAGTGTGGAGGACGATCACATGTTCTTCAGAGGAGCGCTTGTGAATCCCCGACTCAGATCAGTGAACTCTTTCAGAAGATAGACAGCCTGGTGAAGGAGAACCGTGAGGATTTCTTCATACCACAAGCTTACTATGAACTGATTCAACAGAAGACACAAGAAGTGTTTGGTGCGACTGAGCTCAGTCAGAGACGGGGAAGTTTGCAAAAGGATCCTCCAAACTGTGAGTATTATTTCACTAAACCTACAGCTGATCTCAGTTACACACTGATCTATGTTAATTTCTTTTACAGTGAATAAACACAAAGGAGATTCAGAGGAGAAGAAAGAATCTGAAGAGGCTGCCAAACATTCAGAAGACGTATCAAAAATCACCATGGACTTCAAACAGTTTGTACTGATACTGATGGGTGCATTCGGAGCACTTCTGGGATCAGTCGCTGGAGCTGAAAGTGGAGTTAGGGGGTCTTTTATCGGAGTAGTCTTTGGCATCTTTGTAGGGGTTTTAGTCGCAATTTTCATCATGTACATTTATACTCACATTTATTCAAAGCAGACTACACAAAGTAGGCCTACATCATAAGCAACTGAATCATAAGGATCTGCAAAGTTGATCAGGTGCAAGCTAGTTCAGACATACAGTACAAGTGCAAGC